TGAAAGTAAATATAGATGGTTCACTGCAAGGCGTAAGTCATTCATAAACCTAAGCAAGGAGTTATTAATGGGTGCCTCAGCCTCAGCCAGCCCATCCTTCAGGCTGTAACGATTGTGCCTCTAACAAGATATTATTCTTCCTCTGGTTGTTATTTTCCCTAGGTGAGGCGTCCAGCTTCGACTGTATGAATTAATGTGCCTGAGAGTCTGATACACATCTGTTCGATGGCTACCTCAGGCTCCACCGCCTCTGCCTCAATCCCAGCCACTGTGCCTGAGGGTTTCCATTTTGAAACCAAATATATTTTGCTTAACTACCTAGGAATGGTGCCTGCAGGTAGATCAGACCAACCAGCTGCAGCTCAAGGTGAGAGGAAATGCTTTGCATTCGTGGCAAACCTCTTATTAAAAATCGCTGACGAGACGAGCAACAGTTGTTTTTTTTTTCCTTCCCATTTTGCACACTGTGCACGTACACAACCCTCACACACTTGCATTCAGAGAGCACACAAATAGTGGCGTTCACATGCACACATGGTTGTAACATAAAATATCTGGGGTGTGTAGGCACGTAGCCACCTGTTTTGTCAGCTTAATTTGGCTCTGACTGGAATCTGACTTTAGCAGGAGAACACATTCAGAAGACCTGCATGGACACTTGAACATGATAGCTGAAGCCAGTGTCTGTAAACCAATAGATTTAGTGGATTCTCATCTAAAGCCCAGCTAGAATCCTTTCAATAACCCAATATGGTGACCAGAGTGCATAAAGCTGTTGTGTCTTCAGAGGTCTTTACAACAACCCTGTTACATGGCTTCAGGCGTGCTGGCTCACATTTTTCTTCTTGTTCCCTTTTATGGCCGGCATACCAAAAAAGGTGTTGTGGAACAAATGTACAATATAGTCATGGTTTTGTGTGTCTGCTATGTGGGACTAGAGAAAGGATGTGTGAAGGTAAATGCCAGCAGCTGTTCGTTTCTTTTAGTTTGTGCAACCAAGTTGTGACCTCACAGCGTTAATCCTGAAATAAATCTTAGTGATTAAAGAGCGCACAAGACTGCTGGAGAGCCTCTTTGGATGATGCATGAAAGTAAAGGAGCAGAGGTATCTGAAAAATGTATTTGGAGCAAGGAAAAGAAGACGAGAGGGGGAAGTTCTTTATTTCCTGTCCATTTTATTGTTGTGTGCATGCTTGGAATGGGCGGAGATGGCAGATGAGTGGCTGATCCCTGCTTTCCGCTTGACCCGGTCCAATTTCTGACAGCCTGTCATGTGCAATCACTGTAGCATTACTCACACACCAGTGGACCAAAGCAAAATAGTTGTCTGGCTAGCTGTCTGGCTAAATGCTGACACAGCACCAAGGCCAGGAAAAGCCAACACTGGTCCTCATGGCACCCATTCAGGGACACGAGAGAACAAGATCCCAGTTGTCAGAGTGTCTTCTTGCTTTTTGTTAAAAAATGTCATTATTTGATTTCATAAACTGAGAAAAGTCAGCTACGAAAGCGGTGAAGAATCCCCACTTCAGAAGGGATTCATCATTGCAACTGAACCAATGGAGTCCAGTCACACTGGAAATAACCAGCGCCTCTGGGTTGCATGTATGAACATTATAAAATGATCCCTGCATCTCTCCGGGGTGAGAGGTCAAATGTAAAAGTTGATTTTTTTTGAGGGTTTATTTTATTTTTGTGTAAATTCAATGCAGCCCCACTTGGCGCCTTTGTGTTGCGTGGTTCGTTACACCCTGAGCAGTGTAGACTCGGTGCTGTAAATAATTGACCTCTGCCTTGATAGTCTTTGTGCACACCATGACTGGGAACCATTAACAGTTTTTTGCTTTGAATTCAGGCTCGTCAGGCTGAGGAGGAGCGGCTGCCTGCGAAGGTGGTTCTCTCCTCCAGGAACGTTGGTGTGCACGGCTGGATCGTTGACACGCTTTGTGTATTCATAGTGCAGGCATCAACCGCTCATCTTTATAGTGGAGTCAAGATCAGGCCCGATTTCCACTTTGATGTTGATCCTAGCCTGTTAAATATTTCATGATTTAATAAAAGGTCAGATCCCATATTTGTTGTGTTAACTTAACCCATTCTTTGTCAGATCCTCTATTTAATTTATCAGATTATATCCAAAACCAGTGAGTGCATAACTTTTATGAATCAAAAAAAGACAATGAACCTTTTTGAAAAAGCCACATGACCAACTTTATTATAAGTTGTTAGAATAGTTACATAAAGAAAACTAAACACATGCATAAAACAATAACAAAATAGCTGCTGACATCAGTGCAAATGACCTTTTCTGAAATATGTTCATGGTTGAGGATGTGCTGAAAGAAGGACTGCTTTAAAAAGCGACCATGCAAATGCAACAAAAACAGCTGGCACACACTGAAATGACCGTCCAACCACAATATCCTGTTAAAATGCAGTCAAGGCAATTCAGAATTTCCAGAACAGCTTTTCTTTAGTCGTGTTTTAAGACATTTGGGGAAGTTTTGCATGAAAACTAGGGCGACTGTTTGGGAGAGAGCCAGAAAGAATGAAGGATGGAGCGACAGTGATTCATATTTCATGTTTGTTTATCTCTTTCAGAAGATGCAGAGGCTGAGAAAACAAGATCCAGAGTGATAAAGGAGCAAATAGAGGAAGGGCTGAGAGAACTGGATGGCGAAATTGCCGCCTGTAAGTGATCACAAACATACACAGCTACAGTTAGGTCCATATATATTTGGACACTGACACAAGTTTTTTTTTTCCACTTGTTTACTGAAACTAGTTACATAATGGAGATAATGTGTAGAATTTCATCTTTCATTTGAGGGCATCCACATTCAAATAGGATGAAGGGTTTAGGAGTTTCAGCTCCTTAACATTTGCCAGCCTCTTTTTAAAGGGACTTGAAGGCTATTTCATTGGCAGGTGTGGGCAATTCCTTCATTATGTTGTTTTCAATAAAGCAGATAAAATGCCTGGATTTGTTTTGAGGTGTGGGGCTTGTATTTGGAAGATTTTGCTGTGAACAGACAACATGCGGTGAAAGGAGCTCTCCATGAAGGTGAAACGAGCCTCCTTAAGCTGCGAAAACAGAAAATAAACACATCTGAGAAACTGTTACAATATTAAGAGTGGCAAAATGTACAGTTTGGTACATCCTGAGAAAGAAAGAAAGCACCGGTGAACTCAGAAATACAAAAAGACCTGGACGTCCACAAAAGACAACAGTGGTGGATGATCACAGAATCATTTCCATGGTGATGAGAAACCCCTTCACACCAGCCAACCAAGTGA